AAAACCCCCCTATCATATCTTCCACAAAGTACTTTCTTTCTTTTTTATGCCTTGTGTCATCAGTCAATATTATTACTCATTGATCTTTCACTCACTTCACTCCTCTTTGTGTCCCCACATCATATCCAATTAACCCCAACCCAATCACTCTCCACCCACCCACCCCACCTCGGACGCCCTTTGTGATATGTATATATATATATATGGTGGGAAAGTTCTCTGTAATGCTTTTTTTTTGGTTGGTATAGAATGTTGTTAGGAAATTGTTTTCTAAAATTACTTTCGCACAAAAAAAAAAAAAAAAAAAAGAAGGTCCACCAACACAAACATACATGAATTCCCAAATGTGAATTTTTAAAAATGCTATAGAAAATAAGCAATTTTAAAGGGCATTCCTTTCACCTTCATCCTTTACCATAACTAAATGGAACCCCATATATAAATTACCATTCAACACAGGTGAAAATGTCAGCTAAACTCAACAATCAGACCTTCCAGAAGATTAGGGCACGCACACAAATTTCAGAAAGCCTAAAATTCAATCGGTGAAAGGTAAACAAAGACAAGTTGAAAAGTTTGGAGCATCATCCCATTCTAATTCACACCATAATGACCATTCCAATAAAGCACAACCCTCAAAATTAAATTTCATTGCCAAGCAAGAACCTATATCGGCGCCTTCGTCGTCATAGAACTAAATGCAGCTCCCCAAAGTACAATTACAGAAACAAAACCGCGCAAAACCCTAAAACTCCCCGAACCACTAAACAAACTGTTCGAGTAATAAGAAGCCAGCAGTCTCTTAACAATAAATAAGAGTAATTCATATCCTTGTAAAACTCCACAAACGTCATGTGACTATACAGACAAACACAAACCCAACAAAACATGGAAGATTCAAATAAAATAGTGTGCCTCAATGAAATATGAGACGTGTGTGTGTGTGTATATATGTGGTGTGTGCGTGGATGGAATGAAATGAGGATTACCTTACAGAGTTGATTCAAGACATGCTTGAGACCTAGAAAGTCCTCTAAAATTATCCAAATTTATAATCTAAACACAACCTGAAAAATTAAAATGAAAAAATAATGAAACTTTTTGGGGATACATACATATATAGGCAAATAATTTATATTCATGTACATATATATATATATTTTTTGAACAGCTAATACATACATATATATATATATATACAGAGAGAGAGAGAGAGAGCATACCTGAGTAGCTGTCGTCGTCGAAGCACCACCGCTAGCCCTTCGCCGTTCGTCGTCGCCGCACCACCGCACCACCGCTAGCCCTTCGCCGTTCGTTGCCCGTCGCTCATTTGGGGATTTTGGGGAAAATTGAGCGGCAAGATGAAAGGATTTCGATCGGACAATTTTAGGGATTTTAGGGATTTCGTGCTTCAAAACAATTTTAGGGATTTCGATCGAACTGAGCGGCAAGATGAAAGGGAAGAGGGGGGGGAATTTTTTTTACTTTTTGCGACGGGAAGGTTTACACCGTCGCAAATGATACAAAATGATTAATAAACGACGTCATTTTAATAATCCTTTTTTTGCGACGGACATTTGCCGTCGCAAATGGTCGAGTATTTGCGACAGCAAACTTTTGCCGTCTTAAACAATTTTTTTTTTCCCGACGGTTCAACACTTGCCGTCGCTAATAGTTCCTCATTTTAATACCCGCCCGTGCAGTTTATTACCGACGATTAAACGCCGTCGCTAAAATTCTTTTTTGCGACGGTTTATTTTGCCGTCGCAAAAGACCATTTTTTGCGACGGGGATCGCGCCGTCGCGAATACTTCCGTGTTTTTTGCCCTCTTTTCTTATAGTGTCTCTTCATTTAAAATATTGCTCTTAGCCAGATCTATATTGATTACACCATCTGGGGCCAAGTTAGATAATGACATTCTAAATGTCTCCCAAGAGTCCGGCAATGTACCAAGCAAGCACAACCCCTGTACCTCATCATCGAACTCGATACCCATTCCAGCCAACTGATTAATCACTCCTTGAAAAGTGTTCAAGTGATCTGTCAATGGGGTTCCATCTTGGTATCTCAAGGTCATCAATTGCTTTATTAGAAACATTTTATTGTTTCCAGTCTTCCGAGCATACAATTGTTCAAGTTTGTTCCAGAGTGCACGTGCATGTGTCTCTCCACTAATATGATTCAAAACATTATCATCCACCCATTGCCTAATGTACCCACACACTTGTCAATGTAGTAGTGTCCATTCTTCATCAGATTTATTTTCTAGTTTTTCAGTAGGAAATACCGGTAGATGAAATTGCTTCACATAAAGAAGGTCTTCCATTTTTCCTTTCCATGTGTGATAATTAGAACCATTCAAAGTAACCATTCTACTCAAATTTGCTTCCATTATTCAACACAAGATACACAACAATATGAACCAAGCTCTGTTACCACTATATTGGGAGAAAACAAACAAAGGGCCAATTCGAAATATTCGAATCCGGTACAAAAATAGCAGAAGTAGTTTATTCTCCCTCTTTGTGTGAACCTATTAGGAAGCAATTTAATAGAGCACAATATATTCTGAAAATAATCTGAAAACGATGACCCAACAATCATATAACAAGGTGACAGCAAAATTTTAACGTGGAAAACCTTCCCTTCTTGCAAAGGCTAGATCATTTTTCTCAAATTCTTCAATGGTTGGTTGGAGTTACGTTAAAAATACTCACTATCCCTCCGGTAATAATATTGTCACCCATAATAAATATAAATAAATGAATAAGTCAAAGTTTCTAATTTCATAGATGGGCCCATATCAAGCTGTTTGTTTCCTGTTCCAGCGCTTCAAATGGACCAATAACTCCCCAGGCCTACAATACTCTGCTTTAAGGAGAGTCTAATGGGCTTCCCACATGAAGGCTGAGGCTTTATAAAAAAAATCAACGGAAAATTACTATGTTGTCTTATGTAGGGGATCTATTTCCCTTCTAATCTTAATATATTTTTAATAGATGAATAGGTCCACAGTTTTTTAAGTTTTATATCCAGAGGTCCCGTTTTTTATTTTCGTATTTTGTAAATGACTGTATTACCCTTTGTTTGAGATGTATATATACGTGAAAAATCAAATATTTGCTCCGCTCAAAAAAGAAAATCGTATCTTCGCCTCTGCGATCTCGATTTCTCTTCGTTATGGCGATCTTATTATGCTGTGTGGTCGATCTCATTGTGCTGTGAGGTGGATCTGATTGTGCGATCTGAATTTCTGTGTACAGGCGATCTCTGCGTACGTTCTCTCTCTCTCTCTCTCTCTCTCTCTCTCTGTATCTGGTTTGTATCTATTGATACATACATATACATATATATATATATATATATCTGTGTGTGTATGTGGTTTGTATCTGTCGATACATATATGTATGTATATATGGATAAGTAAATTTGCGTGATATCTGGTTTGTGTTTAGCAATGTTGTTTTAGTTCTTTGTTTTGTGATAAATTTTATTTGTTTGATACTTATTTATTTGATTTTTGTTTGTGATATAGTGTAATGATTTTGATTTTGTTGATTTTGTTTGTTGTATAGTGTAATGTGCTTTGAAGTTGTAGTTTGGAATTGTGAATTCTGGTGTTTTGATACTGATATGTTGTAAGTGTATAATTTTGCAGTTTGGAATTGTGAATTGTGCACTGTTGGTACTGATATGTTATAGCTATATAATTTTGCAGTTTGGAATCTGTGAACAATTGTTTGTTGATTTGTGGAGAGTTGTTTCATTTTAATGTGCAAATACAGTAATTCTTGTACTGCTATTAAGATTAGTGAGGGATGTAGTTATCATGAAGTTGTTGAGAAAATATGTGCGAAGTTCAAGGAGTTGAGTGTTGGTAACTTTTGTTTGTTTTTCTCTATTCCTGGATATTCTAATTATATTGTTGAATGTGATGATGATTTGGGGAATATGCTGTCAATGGTAGGTGGTACTGGTTGTCGTGTTGTTGATGTTGTTGTGGGTGATAAGAGAATTGTAGAGGTTGATGATGATAATTCTTGTAGGATTGATTCTGTAATTTGTGAGAGTTCTTTGGTTAACGATTGTGATGATTTTAGTGGTTTGTTGCCTAGTTTTTATCTAGAACTAGAGAGAATTTTGTTGTCTGCTAATTGGAAGGGGATTATACATAGTGTTGGTCAAGAATTTGAAGGTGGAGTGCCGGCTTTCCGCATTGCATTGGCTAAGTATGCAGTTGAGGGTGGTTTTGCAGTGAATTATTTGAAGAACGATGCAACAAGAGTAACTGCTGAATGTGTAATGAAGTCGTCTACGAGTTGTAAATGGTTTGTGCATGGAAGAGTGTTGATGAATTCCGGTATTTTTTTTATAATGAAGTTGGATAATGTGCATACTTGTGGGGTTGTTGCTCGTAGATCTTGTAGCAAAATGGTTGGTTCTAGACTTGTGTCTGATATTGTGCAAAATGATATTAGTGATAATCCATTGACTAGTCCTATTGAAGTTAAAAAAAAAGTTGAAGAAGCAATATGGTATAGATGTTTCTTTTCGGGTTGCATGATTAGGAGTTGATATGGCAAGATATGGATTGTTTGGTGATTTTGCAACTTCTTTTGACCAACTTCGACGCTACCTTAAGACAGCTATGAGAATGAATCCGGAAAGTGTGTTTGAATTAGATGTGGATGAAAGTAGTGGGTGTTTTCGGAAGTTGTTTGTGGCATTTCATGGATGTTTGTATGGCTTTCAATTTTGTCGTCCGTTGTTGTTTGTTGATAGTACATTCTTGAAGGGGCGTTACAAGGGGCATTTGCTTGTAGCAACATCAAAGGATGGTAATCAAGGTATGTATTTATTTCCTGTTAGTATAGGTTTGGTTTGTCAGTGTGTTATTGTATTGTGAGTCTGTTAATTTTTGCAGTTTCATGTTATTTTGTTTGCAGGTCTGTTTCTTTTGGCTTTTGCGATTGTTGTCGCTGAAAATCAAGATAATTGAATGTGGTTCTTAAGTCAGTTGTTAAAAGTTGTTGGTTCAAGCCGAAGATTGACCTTTGTGTCGGACCGTCAACAAGGATTGCTAGATGCTCTTTCATCGGTTTTTCCCAATGCACATCATGCATATTGCTTGAATCATTTGAAGAGAAATTTGATTGACAAATTGGTGGGACTTCATACTAACTATAAGCTGAGTTTGATGAAAATATTAGTTAAATGTGCTTATGCGCCAACGGTTGCTTCTTTCCAACATTATATGGAGAAATTGAGGCGTATTGTTGGGAATGGTAGAGTTGATAGTATGTTGGATGGTTTGCAAAATGATAAGTGGGCGAATGCATTTTTTAGAGGGAAACGATATGGTGAGATGTCATCTAATGTTGCCGAGTCTTACAATAATTTGATTGGTGGGGCCCGTGAGTTGCCTATTACTTGTATGGTTGATATGATTAGGGTTCAAATCATGACTCAATTGTCGAATAAAAGAGCTGAATCTAAAATATGGCCTATGAAATTGTGTCCAGTTATGGAAAAGAAGTTGGTGGACTCTTTGAAGCTAGCTAAGTCTTGGGATGTGATTGTTGCTAGTGATACTGTGCTTGAGGTTCATTCTTTTATTTCTTTTTATGTTGATATTGATAAACAAACTTGTTCTTGCCATGAATGGCAATTGAATGGTTTTCCTTGTTGTCATATTGTGCATGCTTTGCGTAGTAGTGGTAGAGATGTGTATGATTTCATTGATACCTTTTTTCGTGTAGATTGTTTTAGAGAGTCATACAAGGAATCTGTTTATCCAGTGCCTTCAAGTGAGAGATTTGACTTTGATGGTGCCGGTAGTTTGATTATCAAACCTTCTATAACGAAGAAACAGCCCGGGCAGAACAAGAAGAAGAGGATACCTTCTAAGGGTGAGAATGTGAAGCAGATCAAGTATGGGAGGTGCTTGAAATATGGAAATCACAATAAGAAGACGTGCAAGGCTGCTATTTGAGGCCACAGTCTATTCTTTTGGATTTGTATTTGAATTTGAGGAATTATGATAATAAAAAATGTAATACTTTGTATTATGGAAGTAATGAATAAAGTTGGTTGAATTATTTTTTGTTTTTTGATGTGTTCTTTTGTTATTGAAGTTGTTTTGTAACAGTCTTATTTTGTTTTTTATTTTTATGGAATGCTGAGAAGGTTGTTGAAAATTTCTTATTGAAACTGTATAATGTTGAAATGCAGTTTTACTACATGATTCATTTATTTCATATTTCATAGCGACAAAACTGTAAAATTTTGCAGTTTTAAGAATTATTAGAAACAACCTGATGAAATTGCATAATTTTGCAGTTTTAAGAATTATTAGAAACAACCTGATGAAACTGTATAATTTTGCAGTTTCAAGAATTATTAGAAACAAGCTTTACTGTATAAAAATAAATGCAACTACAAACAAGTACACAAACAATCAGAAGAACAACCACAATAATAATAGCAAGAAGAAGAGCAACAACAACATCAATGACAATAATCATTTTCACCATAATAACCAGAAGAAGATCATTCCCAAAAGTATATAAAGTACTTGTCACATGTTAAAAAAAAAAAAAAAGTACAAAGATATGTTCACTTGCATATTTGTATTATCAAGAAGTTTGTTCATTGTTTCTATGGTTTGGTATGTTTTGTCAACATTTGGTAGTGCTCGAGTTTCCAAGATGGGTTCTCATCATTGAGCAATTGACTGATGATTTCTGTTCGAAATTTGACCCACTCAGTTGGTCGAAGTGATTTCTGCACAGGTTGCCAGTTGATATATTGGTTGATAACATTGCAGACGACGATTGCATAATCATTCCTGTAAAGTTTTAGATGAAGTTAATTAGTTAGGTAAAACTGCAAAATTTAGCATATTGGAAGATTAGTTTATTGATTTTGTATCGTACGAGTGTGGGGTTTGTTGTGGGCATTCCTCAATTGATGCAATTACTGTCTCGCACTTTTGAGATGATGACATGTTTCCTTGATTGCTGAGTAATGCTTTATTCCATCTCAATTGATGTTGTTGCTACAAAGTAGTTAGTGGGTGTTTTTGTTAGTTATAGTGATGAGTTGAGATGTTTTTAAAGGAATGGAACTAAGTAGGAAATTTTATTTAACTTATAATTTCCTTTACAATTTCAAAGTGCTTGTTGTGGCAATCTTTTGCTGGTCTCAAAAAGTCATAGTGTCTCCATATCCCATCAGCATTGTCAAAGATCACAATTGCCCAATGGTTGTCGTGGTTGATTGGGAAATGGATATATCTGTTTTTCATTGCTTTTGGAAAATGGTTGTCCATCATTTTTTCTCTCAGTGCTTGATCTTGGTTTTGTGGTGGAGTCTGTAAGTTATATATATGTTTGAAATATGTTATAAAACTGTGGTAAGACATGTTAAGAAAGTAGAAAATTTTGCAGTTTGAATAATATTGAAAGGTATGTTAAGTTTTTCTTACATTGATGAGTATTGAAAAAACGTAAGATCTTCCCGCATATGAATTTCTTGCAAAGGCTAGATCATTCTTCTTAAATTCTTCAATGGTTGGTTGGAGTGCCAATTTCTTTTCTGAGAAGGCATCAATGACCTGAAACATGTTCTATATGAGAATGTGTTAGGTTTGTGGAATAGGTTATTGAATATGTATAAAATTGTGTAATTGGAAACGTACACAATCTGCATATATCTGAAAAGTATACACAATTTTCATCTTCGCTGCCAGACCAGACACAAGCACTTGATTGTGTGTTGTTGATGAGTTGAATTTGGTCTTGGTCTTTTTTGGATAGGCTATGCCAAACCTTGTTAGTTTTGCGGCATGAAATAGCGAGTGGCTTGTTTTTGATTGATTCTTCCTTGAAATCATCATCACTTTCCAATACTTGAAGTTGTGTCTTCTCTTGATTGACATCCTCTTTTGGGTTAGTTTCAGTAGTAAGTACTTTCTGTTGGCCAATATCTTCTTGCATCTTTTCTTTCTGTTGTTGTTTTGCTTCATGAGCATCCTCTTTTTGCTCGGGTTTAGTAAAAGGTTCTATCTTTGCTTCGATTTCTTTTTTTTTCTTTTCATTTTGTTTCTCTTTTCCTTCATCGGTACCCTCTGTTGGTTTGGGTACATCAGTAGCAATTTGTGTCTTGTTCCTTGCATCTTCTTTGGCTTTTGTCATTGGTTAGTGTTCAAAATCTGGGTCATGTGCTTGTTTTCTTGAATTTTGTTTAATTCTCTTGACCATTGATCTTTGTTGAGGACTACCAGTTTATTTGGTGGACATTTCCTTCAATTGATCTTCTTTTTTACGCAATTCAGCCATGAATTTTTGTTCCATATTTTGCATTTGTGCTCTCATGGCTGATATGAGTTTGTCCTTGTCGTCCACTTTGGTTGGTGTTTGTGCTTGGACATAACCTATAAAAAAGTTAGATTGTGTTTTGGTTAGTTTAATTGGATTTTGCAGTTTGCTTTAGTAGTAGACAATAGTTTACCTTGTGCATGAAACATGTCGGATTTCTCTTGGAGTTCTTCTCATTGGTTTGTCAGTTCTTCTTCATTGACTTTTTGTTGTTGGTTTGTTTGTTATTCTTCTTGTTCTTGTTGTTGGTCTTCTTCTTCATCAGTGTCTTCTTGTTGATCACCTTTTGTTTCTTGTCTTTCTTCTGCTCAATCATTGTCTTGTTGTTCATCAGGTTCTTCTGGTTCTTCTTCTTCTTCGTCAGTTTCTTCTTCATCAGCTTCTTTTTTATCAGTCACTTATTTTTTTCATCTTCACTCTCTTCTTCTTGTTCATCACTTTCTGGTTCTTCTTGTGGTTTTTGCTTTCTTTTCTTTTTTTGTTGCTGTTCTTCTTGTTCTGATTTTGATTCTGATTGAGGTTCTTCTTCGAGAAAGTCCTTCTCATCATTGTCTAGAAGTCTTTTTTTTTTTGTTGCTTTTGTTTTTTTTTCCGCTTATTGTCCTTTTTGTGGTCATGTTCTTTGCTGAAAAGTCAGTTGATGTGCTTTGATTAATATGCAATAACTGTATTTCTTGTTCAGTTGGGGTTAAAGCACTTTGGTTAACCTGCATTGGAACAATATGGCATATATCAGTAATACTGTAAAATTGGTCAGTTTCATAAGATGAGTTATACTGTGAGTAATGTGTAGGGATGGCAATTTGAAACCGACCCGATGGGGACCCGACCCCCCCACCCCGAATGGGACGGTTTTTTCCCAAAAAAACTCCCCACGGGCCGGGGATGGTATTAAAAAATAAACCCCCGATCATTTTCGGGCCGGGGACGGGGATAGATTTCCCAACCCCAGCCTCGCCCCGCCCCCGGCCCGAGTACACCCCGTATATATCCCCGAATATATATAGTATATGTGTTTAGGTTATTTCATTTCATTTCACTCCTCTCTTCCACTCACACTCTCTTCTCTAGGCGATGCTCTCCCTCTCTCTACTGCGAATCTGCGATGCTCTCCCTCTCTCTACTGCGATGCTCACGGCGATGGTGCCAGCGTCGGCGTCGGTCGCTCCTCCTCTCTCCCTCACGGCGTCACTCCTCCCTCTCTTCTCTCGGCCTCTCTCCCTCTCTCTGCTGCGATGCTCACGGGTGTGTTTAAATCTGAAGATCTGGGTGTGTTTAGGTATTTGTTATTTGTTATTAAATCTGAAGATCTGAAGATCTGAAAATCTGAAGAAGAAGAACAGATCTGTATATATATCTGATGAAGAAGAACAGATCTGATTGTTGCGTATATATATATCTATGATTAATTTTTTTTTATGATTGTTATATATATATATATATATCTACGACAGATTTTTTTTTGTTTTTTTTTTTGATCTTCTTAATGTTGCTTTTTGAGCTCACTGAGATGTTGATGTTGTTGTTTTGGCCGGGGATTTTCGGGGTCGGGGAAACCCGATCCCCGTAGGGGGCAGGAGTGGGGGTCGTGGTGGGTTCCCCGTCGAGGATGGGGACGGGAACGGGGGGAAGTTCTGTCATCGGGGATCAGGCACGGAGAGGGTGATCCCCGGCCCCATCCCGTCCCGTTGCCATTCCTAGTAATATGGGTTAAGTGTCAAAATATGTTTCTTGAAACTGAAAATTTTTACAGTTTCATAATATGAGTGATGTGAATGCGTTTAAACTGTAAACTTTTGCAGTTTCATAACATGAGTGATGTTAAATAAGTGTGTGCTTTGAAACTGCAAACTTTTACAGTTTCATAATATGATTTGTACTGTGAATAATGTGAGTCAAGTGTTAAATATATGTTGTTTGAAACCGAAGAATTTGAAAGTTTCATAACATGATATTTACTATAATGACTGTGAAATGAGTGTTGAATAGATTTATGCTATGACAGTATAGAAGAGTTTGAATACCTTTTCAAAGTGAGCAAGACTGATGTGTTTCCACTTGGAGTACATTTTGCCAAGGTTCCATTTTATAAACCTTGGGAAGCCTTCTTTGTTGGATGGTTGGAGGAGTTTACTGTGCTCACAGTACCAGTACTGTAAAAAAAAATTGAAATATGTTAGATAGTTAGAAATAGGTGGATGTCTGATATTTTTGTATGAAGTAGTTGAGTAATGTGTTTACCAAGAGTAACATGACGCATACAGTGACATGTCTTGGGTTGTTGTTTGCATTTGTCATTGAATTCATCAATGTGTCTTTTATTGCCTCAACCCAATTGTACTTCTTGATGTTGTTGAGATTGTCAAATAGTTGAGGAAACTCCAACTGAGTGTATGGCCTGTTGTAGGCATGAGAAGTTTCAAGCACAAGTAAAGGGTGATGACCCTTGCAAGATCTTGACGATCATTGGTTGATTTTCCTTTTTTTGTTTGTTGAAACATTTTGGTCAAAGACTTGCCATCCAATCTCTTTACTGATTTGCATCTTCAGTTGTAAAATGGAAGCTCAAAATCCTTTGGTCTTGCATAGGATTTGGTAGTGATGCTGTCTTCTCCACAGTCGATACCAAAAATGAGCTTGGCATCACCATTTCTGAGTTTAATTTCCTTTTTGCCAAGTATAAATGCTCTTTTTCTTTTGTTGTAGAGTGTTGTCATTTCTGTTACAATGGAATTGTAGCATCTGCACCAAGAAGCCTTCAGTTGTGTTGAGGAGAGAGCATTTATAATGGGCCAAAAAAGGGTTTTTTCCAGCTCTGTCTATTGAGCTTTTGTGAATTTGACCCCCTTCAATAGTTTGATTACTGTTCCGATGTTGGAACGGTAATTGAATTGTTGGACTCTCTTTGCAGGGACTGCTGTTTTTTTCCCTTTTGATGCCTTGGTTTTTGTTTTGGGAGTTGATTGGCTTTCTTAGAGCTTTCTTTTTTTGGTTGGAGGAGCTTTTTGTTTTTTTGTTAGCTTTCTTTTGTTTGTTTTTGTTGTGGTTGGAGGTGTGGTTGGTGCTTGTTGTGTGGGTGGGGTCTGTGGTGTAGTTCTTGGGCTTTTTCTTGTAGATAGTGTGGTTGTTTTATGGGTTTTTTGGTGGGGTCTATGGTGTTTGGTTGTTTTTGGTTGTGGTGCTTGGGTTTTTGTGGAGGGGGAGATGTTGGTGGCATTTCAGTGGATACAGGAGAAGGACTTTCAAAAGGGGAGATACTTAAATCCCTGATTGGATTTTTGGACATATGGGTTTGTTTTTTCTAATATCTTCCAACAGGGTATGAGTAATATAGTGACAAAACTGTATAATTTTGAAGTTTTATAAGCAGTTTAATATGAAGTTATATGTATTTGTTGGTAATAGTTACGAAACTGTATAATTTGACAGTTTGATTTGTGCCTTATAATAAGTTACCTATTTGTTTTGAGTAGTGATTAAACTGTGTAATTTTGCAGTTTCATTTGCAGTTTGAATAAATTTAGATATGTTACTGATAGAGTGATGAAATGAAACTGTATGATGTTGCAGTTTTTATAAACAGTATCAACAATAAGAACAGCCCATTGCATTTTGTAAACAGCAACAATAACAACGAGAAGATTAAGTATTCAACAATAACAATAAGAAAAGCCAATATTGAACAACAAGAATAAGAATAAGGTGTTGAATGTGTAAGAACATGGATTTATGTGTAAAAACACTGGATTAAAATGTTTTAAAATAGAGGAGTATAATGTTTTAAAACAGGGGATTATATATAAAAGAGGGTTTATACATTTTGAAGTATGTGAAATGCGTATATACGAAATATGAAAGAAGAATGTATAAATTTGAAAGAAAAATAATGAAGAATAGGTGAAGAGAGATGTTACTTTTTTTTCCCATTTCTGTGAATCGGAAGTCAGGAACTATGAAATTTCTTCAGAGTGGTGATGGTTCTTCGTGTTGTTGAGAGTCGCCGATTGGAGAATATGAACGGCTTGGTGTTGTGTTGAAGATGAACGGTTTCGTTTTGTGGTTAGGGTAGGGTTTCAAAGGGAATGGAGTCGAACGGAGGAGAGATGGAGGACTGAGAATGCGATTTCGAGCTGCGGAGATGTAATAGTGTACTGATTAGACTGAGATGGGTGATGAAGATGAACGGTTTCGTTTTGTGGTTAGGGTAGGGTTTCAGAGGGAATAGAGTCGAACGGAGGAGAGATAAAGGACTGAGAATTCGATTTCGAGCGGCAGAGATGTGATAGTGTACTGATCAGACTGAGTTGATCGTGGGTGATGGTTGCGCGCGCGTAAATTGGATGATATATTGTGGATATTTTCATCTTATTGATAATTTGAGGACTTAATGGAGTATTAAATTTGTTTTGGGCCTAAATGGGGTATGATATGTTGGGCTTGGACCTTTGGATTAGTTCCCCTTTTTTTTTTTGGTCATTTTCTTTTTCTATTCCATCTTTTTTTGAAGGCCCATTAACTATGGGTATGGATATCCCATTAACTATTGGTTTGGATATGTGTAAATAAAAACACTAGTGGACCAAGCTCAAAATAGTAGGTGGTTTGAAATTGACTTTTTTGGTAATTTTTTTTAAGTGCACTCTAAAAAAAACTTATTTAAGAATATACATTTTCAGGTCTATACAATTAGACGAACAAAATAAGTAAAAATAAAAAATTTAAAAAAAGTCAACCCAAAAAAAAAAGAAAAAGAAAAAAAAAACAGAGAAAGAGATATGACTAACCTTGCCTTTATAGCAGCTGGTAAAGTATAGACAAGGCCCAAAGTGCTTATACAAGAAAATGTTGTTGTCATATGGTAATCTAGGCACCATATCATTGCAATAAACATACCTCAAATATTTCACATCATAAACCCTCAATTTCTCCTTCATGAACTCTCCAAATTGTTCATCCCCAACCCTAGGCTGCCCAAAAGTGTACACCCCATCCAACCTCTCCAACAACCATGCCTCCTCATGTAACACTAGCACTGCCACAAACAGAATTGCTAATGCCCCTCCCAAACTATGTCCGGTCACTATAAACTTTGTTTTCTCATATTTCTTGTCCATTAATATGTCTTTGAGCTTTTGTCTAATTGTGTAGTATGCAAATGATGGTTGGCCCGGGCCCATATCTATCTCTTTGGGCCAGCCTGTTTTCTTTTGTAGGCCTAGAGCTTTCATAAAGCCACCGTGTATCTTACCCACATCATGAAGGTCAAACCATGAGAAGTCGACATCTGTCCGCCATTTATCCGCATCGAATGGCTCTGTGCCTCTGAATGCGACCATAATTAGGTCAGGGTTAGAGGTTGTGTCATTGAACATCATGGCTTGTGTTGAGATTTGCTCTTCATAATCTGCAAAATAAATAAATAAAATTGGATTATAACAAGTTATTTTTCACCTATATGTACCCCAATAACTCTTTATTGACAAATATCAATTTTTAATATGTAAAAAAAAAAAAAAAAAAATTGATAGCATAATTAGCAGTAATTAGTAGTGTGATTCAAGACAAATAAATTGTCAAAATTGAAATGTGACAAACACTTGTTGAAAAGTGGTTGTATGGTCATAATTAAGAGGGGAATCAAATTTTTTTATCTAGTAGAGGCGAATTCGTAATGAAATTATATACAAAATTTTGAAATTTTCTTACTAAGATTTTGAAAATTATAGATAAGAATATGATTTTCCAAAAAATTGGTGGAGCAAGTGATCTACTACACCATGTCTATATATTATGTTGGTTTGGGCTATTTATTTAGCATCTTCATAATTTTTTTTAAAGTTATGCTAGAAATTCTAAATATTTTATCAAATATTTTACTAAATTTTTCACATGGGTGTGAGACACGCACATGTAGATTGGTATAAGTCTTACTCATGTGAAAAATTTGATAAAATATTTAAGATGTATAATATATATATATACATATATATATTTTTTATTTTTATAATGTACTTATC